CATTTTAAAGGGGTGATATGATGCGATTTCATTTTTTCCTTTCTCTTTAGAGTGTTACAAGCTCTTGGTGCATAAAGAAGATCTGTAAAGTTGCAAAGACTAAAGTCTCAAATCCAAAGAGATATTCTTTATAAAAGTTAAGAGTTAGCCACACCTACCTAAAACGGCTGGTTCTAACACGCCCCCACATATCTACCTCACTATGTGGGAAGATTTGCAAAATGCCGCCCAAATGTTCACGCAAAGAAAGAAGGCGTAACTTTTATTCTCGCTGTAGTATTGTTGACGCTGCCGCCATGTCCTGAAGACGCTGTGTGCTTCGTTGTGAAAGCGAAACTACTTTGTTTGGTCTTAGAAAAAAAAACAAATAAATTGTTTTTGAAATATATAAGTTTCATGATTTTAATTAATTTGACTTTTTAATTACTATAATTTAATTTGACCATTAAAACGGAGTCCAGAAAAAAAAAACAGAAACAGAACTTGGGGAAAAAATAACAGATTTCATAGAGCCCTAAATGCATGTTCTGAGATGACTTGCGTTCACATCACGCATGTAAAACGGCTTAGGAAGGTCAATTCATGTTCTCATCTTTTGCTGTAGGTTCTGTTGATCATAGCGTCGGTGGTCGGCGTGATCGTGTATCGTCTGGCGATGTTTATCACTTTCTCTTCGAAGCTGCGCTCTGAACTGTACAATAGAAAGGAGCTGGAGCCGTTCAAAGAGTACGTCACCCCTCAGATGGCCACGTCCATCACGGCCTCCATCATCAGCTTCATCATCATCATGATTCTCAACAGCGTCTACGAGAAAGTGGCCATCTGGATCACAGACTTCGGTAAGGGACCCGTTTCAGTTTTAGTTCACTTTTCGTATATTTATTTCCAGTTGGCTATTTTAGTGCTTCAACGTACAATTATTTCAGTTATTGACAAGGCAACATTTCTAATCTTCATATAAGTTTTTCATCTTTTTGTTTTATTTCAACTTTACTTCAAACAAAAAAAATTTTGAGCATGTTTTCAAAATTTTTCAAATATTTTTAGTAGTTTTATTTTCGTTAACAATAATAACCCTGATTTGCATGTTCTTTTTTTTTTATCATTTATTTATTGCAATATTCATTTGTATTATTTATATGCTATTATAATTTGTATTACTGTTTTGAATTAGGTTTTATTTTAATATTTTTAGTTTAATTTTTAGTAATTTTTTGAAGTTTTTTTATTTATTTTTATTTACAGTTAGTCATTTTAGTGCTTCAACTTAAACTTCATTTAGTTGCAAAGGCAACATTTCACATTTTCGTTGGAATTTTTTCATCTTTTTAATTTTATTTCAGCTTTATTTCAATTAACAAAAACATTTTTAACAGTTTTTGTTAACGATAATAACCCTGATTTGCATGTTCACAATTCTCTAACGTCAGTTAAAGGTCTCATGGCATGCAGGTAAACAAATAAAATATTTAGTTATTTTAAAACCATTTTTTCATTTATTGCAATTTGTAATTTTTATGATTTATTTATTAGCTTGCAAACCCCAGTTTGAGAAACCCAGACTTACAGAAAAAAGACTCATTGTGAACACTCATTCTGTGTGCTGCAGAGCTGCCGCGGACCAAAACAGAGTACGAGAACAGCCTGACGCTGAAGATGTTCCTCTTTCAGTTTGTGAACTATTACTCGTCCTGCTTCTACATCGCTTTCTTCAAAGGGAAGGTGGTGGGATATCCGGGACAGCCCGTCTACTGGCTGGGCAGCCTCCGCAACGAGGAGGTGAGACATTTTTGTGAGATCATGAGGTACTACAGGCAAACATTTGCATGAATTGATATGCAGCTGTATTTCTTGAATGAAACGTGCAATATTGTGTTCAGTGTGATCCCGGCGGCTGCCTGACTGAACTGACCACACAGCTGTCAATCATCATGACAGGAAAGGCCATCTGGAACAACATACAGGAAGTCCTTCTGCCGTGAGTTTCACACACAAACCTCAAACTGATTCATGACGTCATGTCGATGATCACAGGAAATCATTCAACCTGTCGTTCAGTTTATAAAAAGAAACCAAAGTCATGTTTACAGTTATGCACTTATAATAGACATCTATGGCGCAAGAACGAAATTGCACCTGTTATGAAATAGTAAAGCTACTAAAAACACTGAGGTGCGAGTTGAAATTATTTTGTGTGCTAATTGACATTGGGCAACAGATATTGAACAAATCATGATTCAGCAATAACTTTCATACTAAATTGTATTCTAAATTTACGAATAAAGTATTTCGAATTAGGCAGAAATGAGAAGTTCAACCCATGCATACATATAAAATAGTCCACACAATTATTAGTGAATGAGACCCAGTGTTATTTTAGTGTAATTATATTTTTATTAATATTTTGAATTAGTTTTTATTTTTATATTTTCTGTTTAATTTTTAGTTTTTAGTAATTTTGTTATGTGCCTTTTTATTAAGTTGGCTTGAGAAACCAACTCAAGTACCCTAGCAACCTCATAGCAACACCCTAGCAACCACCCCGAGTACCCTAGCAACCACATAGCAGCACCCTAGCAACCACCCCCAGTACCCTAGCCACCACATAGCAATATTTTAGTGTAATTATATTTTTATTAATATTTTGAATTAGTTTTTATTTTTATATTTTCTGTTTAATTTTTAGTTTTTAGTAATTTTGTTATGTGCCTTTTTATTAAGTTGGCTTGAGAAACCAACTCAAGTACCCTAGCAACCTCATAGCAACACCCTAGCAACCACCCCGAGTACCCTAGCAACCGCATAGCAGCACCCTAGCAACCACCCCAAGTACCCTAGCAACCACATAGCAACACCCTAGCAACCACCCTTGGTACCCTAGCAACCACCCCAAGAACCCTAGCAACCGCATAGCAACACCCTAACAACCACCCTGAGTACCCTAGCAACCGTATAGCAGCACCCTAGCAACCACCCCGGGTTACATAGCAACCGCCCTAGCAACCACTTTAAGTACCCTAGCAACCGCATAGGAACACCCTAGCAACCACCATGAGAACCCTAGCATCTATCTATCTATCTATCTATCTATCTATTAATTTACTTAAAATTTCTATCTATCTATCTATCTCTACTATTCTTTATTCAAACTTCAGACTTCTTCAAGTGAACACCTTCAAACTACAAGCTTTTAAGCCACTTCAAATAGGCTTTCTCAAGCCAACTTCAAAGTTTGTTCACAAACTTTACTTATCTAGTTTAAATATTACTGTTTTAGGTTTTTTTTTTACTTTTAGTTTGTTTTTCTCCAGTTAGTATTTTTAGCATTTTAATTTATTTCAGTTTCTGCTTTTATTGCAACTTTATTTCACTGAACAAAAATGTTTTATAGTTTAATAAAGACCCCATGTTATTTTAGTAAACTATAGTTTTTAGTAACATTTTGAATTTGTGTCCATTTTTATATTTTCTATTTTTAGTTTAAGTTTTAGTACTTCTGTTGTTTTTTTGTCATTTTTATTAGTTTGCCATCAGCACTGATCAAGGTTATTACAGTTTACTAAAACTAAAACCGTTTTGTTATTTGAAATAAAATAAATGTTAACTGAAATAAATTAAAATATTGAAAAACATCATTATTTTATTTCAGGTAGTTGCCAAGGTAAAATAACAAAGAAAAACTGAAATAAAAATTTATAAAAACTAAATAGACATATAAAAAAAACTATAACAAGACAAAAACACAACAAAATTATTAAAACTTCAACTAAGACAAAAATAAAAACAGAAACTGTAAAAATTAAAACAATTATAAAATATTAATAAGAACTGTTAGTAACAGTTTGAAAACCACTGTGATTAATAACTAATGGTGTTTGTAGGTGGGTGAAGAATCTGATGTTTCGTCATTGCACCCAGGTGGGTTCAGAAAAAGTGATTCCTCGCTGGGAACAGGACTATCGACTCCAGCCGATAGGAAAGCTCGGCCTGTTTTATGAATATCTGGAGATGGGTAAGACTTTATGCACATTTGAACCATGAAACATTGTTGTATATGAACACAGTTGTCTTAAAGGGGTGCTATTATGCTTTTTCACTTTTTCAACTTTAGTTAGTCTGTAATGTTGCTGTTTGAGCATAAAAAAGATCTGCAAAGTTACAAAGCTCAAAGTCCACTTCAAAAGGAGATATTTTATTTAACAGAAATCACTTTTCAAAAACTACAACAGATGACTCGTTTGGACTACAACGCATATTTTCCGGGATTTGTGATGTCACAAATATCGACGAATGGGACGAGACCTGGTTGAGCTGCACTAGAGAAGGCAACGAGTGTTATCACTATGTCAGAGACACGCTAGCTTTCCCAAGGCAGACGAACTTAGAGTGGTTACAATCATCCGGGTTTAAATCACACTCAAATTGATTTGATTTTGAGCAATATTTACACTGAAGCTCCCAGGCGGCTATGGTAAGGGGCATGACATTTCCAGACCAGGCGCCGAGTGCTGCCAATCACAACACACACTAGCCCAGCTAACCAATCACAACACACACTGACCCAGTTAACCAATCACAGAACACACTGGCCCAGCTAACCAATCACAACACATTTCGTATTTCAGAAGGCGGGCCTTCATTTCATACAGGAACTATTCGAGTCGTTCATGCCAGACTGGGGAGAGAGGTGTTGTAATAATGTAAAATATGTGAAAAATAATGTGTTTCTCGAACAACCTAGTATGAGAGCCTGTTCTAGTACACCCCCAAAACAAAATGAAGACTTTGTAAAAGAGTATAATAGGACCCCTTTAAAAGGGATAGTTCACCTAAAAATGAAAATGTACTATTATTTACTCATCCTCAGGCCATCCCAGATGTAATTACTTTTTTTCTTCAGTAGAACAGTAAAGAAGATTTTTAGATAAAACTGCTATCTTTGTTGATTCATACAATGAAAGTCAGTGGCTACCAGCACTTGAGAGTCAAAAAACAACACAAGTAACACAAAATTAATACCCCTGGCTTGATATATCGAGGTCTTGTGAAGTGAAACAATCCTTCTTTACAACATTATTACCCGTAATCTAGAGAATGAGACAAACGGGAAATCCGATTCTTTTCAGTGAACTGGTTCTTTCGGACAGTTCGTTTCATTGAACTGGTTCAAATAACCGATTCACCAGTTTGTTTACGTAATCATGCAATGACATCATATATATGCGATTATATTATTAAAGCACCCAATTATGATGTGAAACATGGATGTTTTACATGTCTAAAGCATATAAAGTGAATGAACTAGTCTTCATCAGCTCACCTTTTCACATAAACAATGAGAAACCATAAAAACCTTCAATTGGCCCTTCATTCTTCAAGTGTTCGGTTCACACATGCTCATATCAGCGGCTCATCGGTCTTCAGTCCGAGTCGAACTGTTTTCTCAGTTCAGTGACTGTTGGAGGACAGACTGTTGGAGCTGGATCAGATACACCGCTATTTTGGCTCATTTGGAGTCGCAGTGAGTTTTGATTGAGTAACTTGTAGATCTGTACTGCTCGAGTTGTGAACAGTTTCAGACGCTTCAGTCCGATTTGATGAACTGGTTTATCTAGTTCACTAAGAAGATCCGGTTCAAAAGAATCATTCGTTTGTGAACCGGACATCACTCCGGACCGTTTGTCTGAGGCTCTGGATTATAGGTAATAATGCTGTAAATAATGTTCAGTTTCTTACACAGATTGATTGTTTCACTTCATAAGAACTTAATATATCATCAGGAACCACGGGAATTGATTTTGTGTTGCCTGTATGTGCTTTTTTAAATCTAAAAGTGATGGTAGCCATTGACTTGCATTTTATGGGTCACGGTTTCAGCTAAATATAATAAAAAACAAAAATAAAGAAAAAAGTCTTGGATGGCCTAAGAGTGAGTAAATTTATAGCAAATTTTCAGTTTCTTTTTTTGTCTGTTTGCAGTGATCCAGTTTGGTTTCGTGACTCTGTTCGTGGCGTCCTTCCCGTTGGCTCCTCTCCTGGCGTTGTTCAACAATCTGTGTGAAATCCGCGTGGACGCCTGGAAGATCACGACTCAGTTTCGGCGGGTTGTTCCAGAAAAGGCCCAGGACATCGGCGCCTGGCAGCCCATCCTGCAGGGGGTGGCGATTCTAGCGGTGGCCACAAATGTGGGTTGAGAGGAAGTCATTGTTTTTGCATCTTGTGTAATTGAGGTCACGTTCACTCACTGTAGGTGTTTTCCTCTCCAGGCTGCCATCATTGCCTTCACTTCTGACATGATCCCTCGACTGGTTTATTACTGGGCATTTTCCGTCAGCCCTTATTCAGATGGATCTGACCACACTATGACAGGCTACATCAACAGCTCGCTGTCTGTGTTCAACATTGCAGACTTCAAAGAGACGATTAGACCGAGCGAGGAGATCACACCGTACTGGTTTAACAACATCACCACATGCCGGTGAGCTCGTCAAACATAACCAGTTAAAACTGCACTAAAATGCTTGCAATTTATCCTTTTATAACCTTGCCATTTTTACAAGCATTCTTCTGCATGTTTATTTGGAAATGTCGGTTTAATACACAGCATGCATATGTATTTTAAAAAGTGAAAAGAGAGTATTAATAAGTTATGAAGTGATCTGTAACACCTGTATGTTTGGATCATTTATATAAAACTACCCAAACACACAAGACCTCCATAGATTTGCATAGAAAAGAGCAAAAGCTTGTCTGATAATATGGCAGGTGGCAAGAGATGTTAAAAAAAGGATTGATTTGTGGTTTTTAAGGCGGAGTTCAGTGAAAGGTTATTTTAAACCAAAACGAATTTTACAACCTGACTTCACAGGAAAAAAAAAAATGAACAAAGAACTCTTTTAGTTCTGTGGAAAAGCATCTGCTGGTGCTTTAAAGAACCAAAATATGATTACTAAATAATCCATGCAGTTTTTAGTGAATGAGACCCAGTGTTGTTTGTGTAATTATAGTTTTTATTAATAATTTAGTTTTAGTTAATTTTATGTTTTTGTCATTTATTTGTTTTTTAATGTCTATATAGATTTTTATTAAAGGGGTCATATGATGCGATTTAAATTTTTCCTTTCTCTTTGAAGTGTTACAAGCTCTTGGTGCATAAAGAAGATCTGTAAAGTTGCAAAGACTAAAGTCTCAAATCCTCATTGAATGCAACAAATGCCTCGTATATAATGGGTTTTAATGTTTTTGTATTGTCGCTCCGGCCGGACACGGCATCATCACAGTATGGTGAGGGGCATAACATTTCCGTCACACGCTTGAGGTATTCGGCCAATCACAACGCACTGGATAGCTGGCCAATCACAGCACACCTCGCTTTTTTTATTTTAGTTTTAGTTATTTTAGTACATCCAGTTACACTAAATACAAATGAGAAATGTTTAATTTTGTGAATTTTTATTTATTAGTTGGGGGTTATCATTTTGAGTTTATTTATTTAAAGAATACTGTATAATGAATTTAGTTAAGTAAGTTTATTATTTAAATAATATTTATGTAGAAGAATCTTTGTTTTTAGTACTTCTAGTTAAGAGTATTAGTTAAGATTCTTTAAATTATCTTTAATATTTTGGCAATATCTTAGTTTTAACACTTACTAATACATTTTTAAAATCAAAAGCTCTATCTGTTATATCTATCTATCTATCTATCTATCTATATATATATATATATATATATATATACACAACAAAGAATAGTTGTATTTTTATTAAATAACATTAACAAAGATTAATAAATCTCGTAAACAATATATTGCTTATTGTAAGATAATGTTAATGCATTAATTATTGTTAACAAAAGGAGCTTTATTGTAAAGTGTTACCAATATATTTATTGATTTTTAATTCCCAAAACATTTTTATTTATTTATTTTTTAAACAAAACAGCTTATAGTTTTATAAAGTTCTTTTTCTTTTTAAACTGTGACTTGTGTATTAATTGACTCTTCTTATGTTCTCAGGTATCGTGATTTCAGGCATCCTCCCAGTCACCCTAATCAGTATGACTTCAGCATTTATCATTGGCACGTTATTGCTGCCAAACTGGCTTTTATGATTGTGGTTGAGGTAAGTGACTAGATGTGAGACAACTAATGATAACTTAATAATACATGTTTGTTCTGTTGTTGTAAATATGCGGTTTTCTTCTCCTCGCAGCACATTGTTTATTTCACCAAGTTCATGCTGTCCTACATGATCCCAGACGTGCCGGAAGCTCTGAAGGAGCAGATCAAACGGGAGCGTTACCTGACGCAGGTCATCCTGCACGAAACCAACATCAAACACTTCAAGGAGCTCATGAAGCCCATCGCTGACAATCTGCAGAACGAGATTGAGGAACCAGAGTTGGATCTGACACTGTGAAGCCTTAAAATGCCAACTCATGTCAAACCTGAAACTACATCTGTTACCGTCCTTCACCTTAATCCAGTGTTACTCATTGCACGGCTCACAAGCCTCATGTGGCTCGCCAAGCTTTAATTTGTGGCTCACATGGCAGATGGCAGTAAATAATGCGATTATATGATCAATACAGATATTTAATAAAAACATTAAAAACAAGCAGGGCTATAACTAAGCCATTAAATAAACTCACACAGTGTCTACACCAGACACGAACGTCGTGGTGCAACACGACAAAAGACAATAGAACCCATTATAATTATGGCCCTATGATTTCTGCGATGCGGAAAACACGGACGGAATCGCGGAATCCAGTCATAAAAACAGAATTTACTGTATAACGCGGAATGTCACGGAATTTGTCAAAGTTTGGGTGAATAAATCAAAAGTAGGTCATTACACAAATCAAATCGCAATATTGACTGGTATCTGTAAATGACAATAGAACCCATTATAATTATGGCCCTATGATTTCTGCGATGCGGAAAACGCGGACGGAATCGCGGAATCCAGTCATAAAAACAGAATTTACTGTATAAAGCAGAATGTCACGGAATTTGTCAAAGTTTGGGTGAATAAATCAAAAGTAGGTCATTACACAAATCAAATCGCAATATTGACTGGTATCTGTAAATATTAAGCTTCAAAAATACCATTTAAATATGAATCCTGCGTGTCTCTTTATGAATGAATGGCACAGACGCACGGTTTCATTTACTACACACATACTGAAGTGCGCAGTGCTTTCAGCGTCTGTGATGGGCTAATGTAGAAGCAAATAACTTTTAAAAATAAACCCCTTTGTATTGCATTGCATATTGTATGTTCAGGGATGACAGATTGAGAAGCAGACATGCTATTTATGACTAGATGTAATTTTTTATACTTTGCAGTAAAAGTGGCTCTCCTATTAACTTTGTCCTATAAGTGCGGCTCTCATGAAAAAAATTGTGAAGATCACTGCCTTAATCCATGAACCGCACCCCATCTCAGACTCCAATTCAGGCTTAAACCTCAAACAAACACGACCAAGAATGTTTGCATAGTCATTTTCATTTTAGCAGACGTGTTGTATATTATGATCACTGTACTGGTATCTGTAGCTGAATGAAGTGCTTTAATTATCACAGATAAAACAGGACAAGGATCTTCAACCACTAAGTTTAATATTTTCAGAAATTGCTCTTTATGGGTGAGAAACATCATTTTAATTTTCAGTTTGTTGCGAACGGCCACTAAAAATCATCAGCCTCGGTTCTGACAATCCATTCAGTGCATATTGTTACATATAATATTGGCATATAATATATTATCAAAACCAGATATGTGATCTTTAACCACTTTTTATTGAACTAATGAAACAAAGAAAATATATTTTTATTTTTAGTATTATGCTGACACATCAAGTTTTATGTGGAGCTTTTATAAAGTAAAATAAACAGAGCACTTAATGCTTTTTTCAATACACCTATACTAACAAAAACTGTAATACCATGTTTTTTTGGACATGTACCATGGTATCTGGAGTGCTATATGAATATGGTGTTTATAATTATGGTGTATTAGGGTAATATGGTATTACCTTTGATAGCATCATTTTACCATGGTACTGTCACACATGATTATATGAGCATAAGATGCCATAAATTAAGCTTTTTAATATTATTTTAGCCCAGCTAACATTTCAATCATGCTCTGTATGTTTGTGAATATTACCGTATTTAGTTTGTTACCAATTTGTAAAATATGATGTTTACATAAATATATACATACGTATATTTGCACATATTGACCACATTTTTATACATAAAAAAATAAATGATTGATGATGTACAATGTTGACTGTTTACATCATTGCATGCTTTAATATTTTGCTTATAACAACTTTACACGGTAACACAGTAAACGTCAAATACACAGTAAACCTTGTTATTATTATGCATTAAGATATGTGTGTTAAATTTTATTAGTTTTTGCATTTTCTGTTAAAATTATAATTTGAATACTAATTTTGTCATTTTGATTTTTTTAAAAGTTATATAATTTTATTCATTTTTGTTTCAGTTTTAGTACATCAGGTTAAAATAAATGAAAATAATAAATCAACTAACTGAAATAAAATACGTTTGCATTTTTTTATTTTTGTTAGTGATTATTTTATTTCGCTTGAGAAGAACTGCAACATTCCGCTCTAGCACTTTTTTAAATAATTTTTTATTATTTTAAAAAATTTTTATTAAACACTTTCTTAGGGAATACAAAAGTGAAAAAACATATGCCAAGGAAAAGAGCCTGGGGTTCAAGGATGGCCAAACAATACATAGCAATACATAGGGGATTTTTTTTTTTTTAACACCAAAAAGTGAGCATGCATTCAAAGTTTTAGTTGCCTTTTTGTTACAGGAGGTAGACAATAACTTAATACAGATCTTAATATCTTCTTGAAAGTGAGAAAAAAGGGGGGTAACTTTCATAATCTTGCATTTATGACTAAAATAAATTTTGCAAGCAAAATAATTAGGTTGCAAAAAAAGTAACAATTTTCATATTGCTTCTCAAAAATGAAAAATCCAAACAAAACATCATTAAAGTAAAAATCAAAGTCATTATGTCTCGCCAAAGTTGCTCTAGCAATTTGTTTATTTCTGTGTCTCGGCGCCGGTGTGACGTCATCACGGCGCGACTGCAGCTCGGAGAATCCTCGTGTGTTCTGTTGTTGTTGTCATAAATCTGTATGAATAAACCATGAGCTCTCAAATAACGTGTGTCGGATGGGTGAAGCGCGGAGTCGCTAAAGAAACGCCGGATAAAGTGAGTCTGTCATTTGATTGTGTTTATACGGCGTGTTTCTATACGCACACGTGTTTGCGCTTTAACGCGAGTGAAATCATCGTTACAGGTTGAGCTGAGCAAAGAAGAGCTGCAACGCATCATATCGGAGGCTAAAGAGGAGTTCGCTGAGATTTCATTTGCTAACTACTGTTTTATTTCAGGCTCGAGTTAAAGGGGTCATATGATGCGATTTCATTTTTTCCTTTCTCTTTTAATTTGATGACATTTCTATCTGATTTCTTCAGGGATCCCGGTGATGATGAGGAGGAAGTTGATGAAGGTGTTGTCAGTGAAGAGGCATCAGCCCCAGCTGCTAGTGAAGAAATAAAAGAGGAGAGAGATGATAAGGAAGAGGATGATGAGCTTGCAGAGTACGGACTGGACAAACATGATGAAGAAGACATCGGTATGTAAATGACACTCGTTATTCATTGCCTGATTGGTTGGTCTGGCTTTGAATGTTAACATACGAAAAGCGTAACAGTCACTCAGTAGTTAGTCCCGTGTAGCCAGACCTTCAGACTGACGGCTGAAGGTCTGGAATTCATGGCAGCTTTCATTGGCCAAGGCCCGTTTGACCGACATGTCAAACAACCAATCACAGTTCGTTTCGTTCAGCGTCACGTTTCGGGGCGTGGAAATGTAGCCACAATAACAGACCGGTGTGTAAAACTCGGACGTATTTTAAAGATTCTATGCCGCGAACTTTTATTTGACATATTTGACAAATAATAAATATTTGACATACTTTTGAAACTCCAGCGTTTAGTTGATCCTGATAAGCTTTCGTCGTCACAGTGGTAAACACGAGGCTTTCTTCTTTCGTGAGGGGGTTTGGCATCACGGCATCTTTGTTTCCAGGCGGAACGTTACAGAACGCGACACACACGTCTACCGGAAATCCTGTAGAATTCAACCAATCCGATGACGACTTCGACACTCCTATAGTGTTTCCACTTTTGTGTACAATCCACATCTGGAATTAAAGTGATTTTATCCCAATCAATTTGAGCGAGATCATATAAGAAAAATTTCTCATTAAAATATTTCATAAAACGCCTAGTTATAATTCTCGGATTCTGCTTGGGTAGCACTCCTGAAGTGTTTCCACTTTTGTGTCCCATATGCATCAGACGTTTAGCCAACGGTCCGTGGGCGTGACGTCTGAGGCTGAGACTACTCAGTAGTGATGGGAAAAATGAAGCTTTTTGAAGCTTCGAATCAAATGAATCAATTGCTTGCAATTGAAGTGCTCGAAACACCACACTGTGGTCAAAACTGTGTAAATGCGACAAAAACTCATGTCAAAACATGCATGAAAAGTTAAAATTATTGAAAGTATAATATATTAAGTGCAATTAAAATAATAAAATACCATTCTGTATAATGTGTTTTTTAAAATAATAATTATTATTAATTTACAGGGCTTGTTTTGTTTGTTTTATGGAGAGCTTGTCTAAACAGGCCAGAAAAGAGCCTATTAACTACTACTCATCCTTTTAATTGCACAAATGTCTCGTTAAAATGTCTAGAAATTGATCAAACTGATCCGAGATCAGGTTGAAACCACAGACGCTGGTTCAAAGGTTCGATCTCAATGAACTGACATGATTCACGGGTTCACAGAGATCATCACCTCCCCAACGGCAAACCATTGAAATTTCAAAACCGTTATATGATGTAACGAAGCCTCGTTTACTGAAATCACGTGACTTTGGTAGTTTGATACGCGCTCTGAACCACTGTTTCGAAACAAATGATTCACAAAGCAGTGCTTCGAAAGCGCCCATCACTATCACTCTTTGATCTCTCAACCAATGGGGTGAGTTTAGGGCGGGGCTTCGTGTTCGCCTGACCAATAGAGTGCAACAGTGTCCGCCCACTTTTTTAGCGTTGTTGGTTCTATACGTTCTTTTTGCGTTAATTTTTTCCAATAGGGATTTTATAAACCAAGAACCAAAACAACCAGCTACGAGGTGAATCACAACAGTACAAAATTTGATTTGAAGCAGAAAAGTTTTTGAAAATCGGACAAAAAGACACAGATACCAGACTTGACGACTTTAATGAGGGGGGAAAAGAAACTAAACTACAGTCCCATGAACCAATGCGAATGACGATGCAGAAATAAAATAAAAAAAACGTTACTTTTGAAGTTGTTAATTGTGTATATTGAAATAATATATTTTTACTGCGGTGCTTCATGGAAGTGGGCGGAGCTCAGCACTCATGTGGCTTGCTGCGACTCTGATTGGTGGAATTTTCTTTACAGCATTGTGGGTAATGTAGTTTTTCACCAGGGATTTTGCTGTTAAGTTGAAATAATGTGGGCTGATGGCTTTAATAATAGCATATGCCATTGATTAACAACCTCTGCGCTCACAGGAGGTCTGACTATAATGGTTTTGAAGTTATTGTTAAAAATCA